GATCTTTGACCTTATAGAGCAGGTCTAGACTCCTTTTATTTATAAATTATTTACAGAGACCCAACAGTTCCCACCATGAACAAGCACTTGGCAACGGTAGCATACATATTAGCAGGAATGGTTTAAATGCAGAGAGAAACAAAAACAAGGCTGTACTGAACTTGGCACACAGTCCTGCTGGCAGGTGGGCTGGTCTGGTCCAGCTCAAAGTTCACACAGCTTATCATCAACTATTTTAAGATTATTTTATTGCATTTCTGTAGAAACAGGGAACAGAGGACCTTGGCTAGACAAGATCATGGGTTTACAACGGCGCCACTGACAGATGTCACTTTGTTTTAAGAGTCCAGATTCAGACCTCCTGAAACAATGTACAGGTTGAAGAGCTTCAACAGATGATTATTTCTATTATTTATTAATGGTGGGGTTAGCGATTAATTCAGCAAATATCTCCTCAGAGTCTGCTGGTGTTTGTGCACAGCTCTGGCTCTGTAAATGGTAAAACAAACAAAGTGGATCAGACCGAGCCACACAACATTAACTTGTTATTCCAGCCAGGGTTTATGTGTCAGGTAATGTTAAATTACTTGCCCACTGACATTCAGCCTATTTCTAGTTTGTGAAGATATTAGCTATAGTAGCAAGAGTGTTATGAGTATTGCTGTCTGGAGCTGGTGTGTTGGCTCTTGGAAACTGTCATCCTCTTCACACAATTTTGTTGATTAACTAATTAATTATTTTGTCCATAAAAAGGCAACACAAAGACAGACTGCAGTCGGCCTCCAGGTTTAAACCCAGATCCTTCTTGCCGTGATCACAGACAATGATGCTAAAATACTGCCATTACTGCCTGTGTCCAGGGAGTAGAGTTCTAACAATTATTTAATTAATTGATTAGAGGTCAACTATTTTAATAAATCGATTATTCAATAATTAATCATTTTTTTTAAATAAAAAATTCTACGATTTCAGCTTCTCAAATGTGAATATCTTTCAGGACGTCACCTTTGCTCTTTAGGATCAACAACAACAACTAATCGATTAATCAAGGAAATGATAGACTCAAATAATCCTTCCAGCTCTACCCAGAGGAAGGGATGTGGGAAAACTTCCCAGCATGCACTGTGTCAAAGGACTTCATGCAATTAGTTATGTGTCTACGCATGGAGGATGATACCTTGATGTCTTTGTGCATTTTACTGCCCCTGAAAAGAAACTCACGATATCATCATATATCATATCATATAATCAAAAGGAGTTCTTACCTGCTCAGGTAGATTACACACGGTCAACAGAGACGAGGGCACCTCGTTTTTAAAATGGTCCCCCCAAACGGGCTTCAGGTGGAAACGAACGGTCCAGTCCAGTTCCTCCATCTTGTTGTAGAGCCAGAACAGAGCTCTGGACCAGCTGCTGGGGGCCGCCGCCACCTCTGCACCCACCACCTGTCCCAGCGTGGTCAGCACGGACAGCAGCAGCTCCTTGGTGTCCATTGACAAGTGGTAGACAGTGCCCTCTGCTGTCTGCTCCCAACACCTGGCAGAGATTTTGATGTGTTGAAAGTTACAGTTAAAGTTGTCACTATTATAGAATAATAAGACAGTATGTGGATCTGGATTGTAGGCCATAAAAACACTCATCATGCAAACCTGAGAGTCTGGCTGTGCAGCTGGGCCAGGATGTAGAGAAGGGGAAAGGGAGAGCAGTCCAACACCCAGTGAGGACATGAGTCTGGCTCCTGGACGTCCACAGACAAAGCGGTGTGGAGAAGTTGCAGACTCAGTTCTATATCAAAGGAGCTGTGACCTGGAGGGAATACAGAAAGGTGTGTTTGAACAAAAGTGACACCTGTAGGGAGGCTGTGTGTCTGCCGGATGTGTAAATACACAACTGTTTACCCTGATAATATGTCAATGTTGGCTGAAAAGACATCTGTAAATACTGCTTTAAATGTGATGGTGTCTGCCCACAGAATAATCACACTGTAACCTTGGACCAACCTCCAGGGGAACTACAGGCTGTGAGACGTGGTTGAAAGCTCTAAAAAGCTAATGAGTGGACTTTGAGTTAAAGATTATCTTTTCAAACCAATGCTGATACTTGTGGAGTGAAGCTGATGATAGTCATCATAAACATAGTAAGCTCTTTCACATCACAATATCTCATTCATTCTTCACAGAGGAAAATATCAGCATCATACTGGTCTTTCTGTCTGATTAACACTTTTTAAACAGTGACTATTGCTTAACCAACATTTGATCCTGAAAAGACGTATATTAGTTTTATAGCATGAATACCACAGGACACTCACCCACAGTGGAGAGGTTAGGCAGGACGAAGTTGTTCACAACCTCCTGAGGTGGCAGAAAGCTTTGCCTCCTTTCTTCTCCCTCAACTGTCATGACTGGCATCATCAGCAGACCCAGACACTTGAGGAACTGCTCCTTCTCATTGGCTGACAATGATTTGGTCTTGATTATCTCCTGCAGACACCTACAGAGTAGACCGCTACCATTCAAAGCATCCTTTTCTTCATCTCTACTTTCCTCCTCTTCTTCTTCATCATCACTTTGAGCTTCTTCTTTTATTTCCCTCTGTCCTCTGAGTCCAGGAAGCTGCTGCAGGATCTTAGCCATAAGAGAGAAAGCACCTTTATTGAAAACGGCTGAATGACAACAAGACCTGAGAGTGGCCTCGGGGTTCTGAAACGCAACTCTTGCGACCAAAGACACTGCTGTGTTCAGATTGCCCTGCGACGCTGCTGCCGACGCTCCACCCCCTCCTTGGATGATGCAATTGAAGGCCATGTTGAGCTCCTGATCAAAGCCGCCGGTCACAGCAGAGGGGACGGAACACCCGAAGAACCCCCTGCTGGACAGTCTCAGCATGGCAGCCAACGCTTTGTTCTTGTCTTCTAAGGACAGCGCAGAGAAAATGTCTGCGGTGACTTTCATCAGCTTCCTGCACTGGCTCACGCTCATGCTCTGGCTGTGGAGTTTACTCATGAGGGTGGAGGTCAGTTTGATGAGCGTGTCGCATTGCTGGAAGGCTACCCGGTTCTTTTCCAGGCAGTCCATCCACAGCTCGTCGCAGGCGGCCCAGCTCTTCTCGCCAGCAAATAACGCTGCAAAGTTCTGATAGTCATCCAGGCGGTGACTGATGATGATGGAGGTGACCCTCGCAGTCACCTCGGGGGTGCTCTCTATAGCAGGGAAAGCCAGTGACTCCAGTAAACCTCTCAGTATATTCTTCTCTGCCTCTTGATCGGCCATTTCAGTCACAGACACTTCTGCTTTCTGTAGAGCTGTGAGGACTCTCTGGACACTTTGCTCTAGTTTGAATGCGGAGTAGCTAGGACTGGTGCTGTCACAGGCCTTCAGGAGCCCACTGTTTTTCCAGAACTGAACAAGCTCTGTAATTATCTTCAAGGCTTCTCTAAGCGCCATCCTGCTGGGCTGAAACTGAGATGGTGCGTGAGAAGCAAGTAGATCTCTCTGTGCCTCACAAATAAGTTCAGGACTCAGTTTCTCTTCATTCTTTTCTCTGATGCTGACAACTTTAGACAGGATGTGCATCTTCTCTTTGGGTGAAAGTACGACTGCTTGGTCTATCAGGAAGGATGTGTAAAGAGCATCAAGAGAAATGGAGAGGGCCTGAAGGCAAAGGTCTGTTGTAGATATGTGATCTTTTATATCTTTAAGTGCATGAAGGAGAATGTGCAGGATATCTGTGGTTGGCGACGACGCTGGTAGATTTAATGGGTCTAGCTTTAACCTCTTTGCAGCCTGAGGGGACAGATTGGAAGACTTGGATGAGAGACGAGCAAATTGTGTAGCGAACATCGTCTCTATGCTATCCTCTCCTCCCGCTTTCTGCTCATCCCGGCCCTTCCACAGTTCCCACCACACCTCCAGAAAAAGTCGGACATCCTCCTCTCTGGTAGGGCTGCTGCTCACGTGTTGCACCAGCTTCTCGAGCTGAGTGCAGATCTGAGTTTGAGGAAGACACAAGAGGAAATTGGCAAATGTCTGAGCAGCTGCCATCGACTTCACCACTTCCAGCAGGACAACATGGTTGACCTCAGGGAGGCCGTTCTGGAGGGGGAAGAAAGGGTTCTCCCTCCAGCCCATCTCTACGTCGTCGCCAGTCTCCCTGCACAACAGCTTCAGCCACACAACACAAACTACTTTCTTCATCCAGCTGTCGGCCGCTGTAGTCGGGTGTGCACCGGGATCATGTTGTCCGCAGATTTCTCTGATCGCCTCCAGGACCGGATGTCCCACCCTGCTCCAGTCAGCTTTCTGAATGGACGACAGGGACGAGGGGAGACATAGTTTATCAGCCAGGAGGAAGGCACCCTGAATAACGGCTGAATCTGAAAGCACAAGAGAGCAGACGTCCACACTAAGCAAAGACAATATTTCATTCATTCAAAGAAACAGTACACAAGTACAGCAATACACTCCCAACTAACCAGTTCTACTTTATTAGCTACCACAGATAAGAGGTCAGGAGGAACTGCAACTAAAAAATATTCTTATCAATTCATTTGGCTAATGGTTTCATCTATAAAATGTCATATAATGGTGTAAATGTCCATTATAATTCCCCAGAGCCAGATATTTAATTTACCATCATATGACTAATAATATATTCCTGAAATAAGAACAGGAATTAAAGCATCCTCTGATATATGAAGTTGAAATCAGAGGGTTTTAATAGCCCATTAAACTTTCTGTCATCTTCATGGGTTTATTATAGTATCATCATTTAATAAATCAGAAATAAAAAATCTGCTTTCAAGTTTTTTATAATCTGCCAAAATGTTTGGTTTGGTTTTTCTTGTAATTGTTGCATTTTATTTCCACCACAGATAAATCTTGGAGCCCGGAAGAGAACAGTGTAAACTATTTAAGTATATATAAGTAATGTTTCGTATACACTGACATACTTTAGTCTCAGTTCTGAGATGCAGCATCGCCGATACTTAGATAACTTTAAGTGACTGTAGCGTCACATTTCCCATGTAATAAAGTGTCAGAACTCCATTACACAGAAACTGTCCTTTACCTTTGTCCATCATCAGTGTCACTGCTGCTGTGGAACAGCTAAACGCAGGAGAGATACTTCACTGAGAGCTGCTTTCAGTCCGGTTTTTATTCCCATTGGAGCTGATCCGCAGAGTGTAACAGTGTGTCCGTCCTCTCAATCACTAATATCACACAATGAACGCAACACGGCCTGTCACACACAGACAGCAGCACGTTAACCAGTTCATATGGAGCGCTTCCGCTGTTCCGCGTCAGAGTCCGACCACAAGAGGGACCCGCTGCTGTCTGTTCCGTCCCCACAGCGCCACCGCAGGGCGGAGTGAGTACTGCAGGCTGGACGGCGTAAAGACCTTAATGTTCACTCCGTCATCAACAGTCGCTTAGTGTCTGCAGCTGCGGTTGGAAAGTTTTGTGTTTCCTGGTTTTATGAGTAACGTGGCATTCACTAGTGTACAGCGAACATGTTGCATAGAAATAACTAATTTAACAGTATCTATAACACTCGTTGTATCTTTTACAATTTCGCGACATATATTGTACAGTCTATATTTAAAATGTTTGGTCAGTGATATATCATCTGCCTAACACGTGATGCGCGCGAGGGACGGGCCAAGCAAGTTTTTTTTCTCTTAAAATGAAAGTGAAAGTAAACCTGCAACTGAACAACTCAGTGGGGGTCTCCAGCTGCGAGGAGATATTTCACCGATAAACCACCATGGCTCTGATCCTAAAGATACTCATTTACTCGTACCTGTGTGCAGGTTAGTTACTGTCTGCAGCTGTGTTACCACCGTGGCCGTTTGGTCGGGTTCTGTGTCGGATTGAATTAACTCATAAGACATGAATGAAATGGCCACCACTTTACTGTAATGTACTATTGTATACTGCGATATACTCTACTATACTACACTATTCTATGTGCTGTAATATACTATACTACACTGTAATATTCCATACTAGACTTTAAATTACAGTATACTGCGATATACTGGACTATACTACAGTATTACTATAAATACTGTACTGTACTGAGCTGTACTATACTATACTACACTGTAATATACGATACTGTACTATACTAAAGTATTACTGTACTATAATATAATATAGTATACTTTGCTTTACTGTAACACACTAAACTATACTACACTGTGCTGTAATATGTAATACTATAATGCACTGTAACTATACTACAGTATACCATGCTATATGTTAGCTGACTGTGCTGTTTGATGCTGTGTGTCTCAGGTGTGCAGTGTGTCCATCAGATGCCATGGCTGCCCTGTAAGTTCACTGATGAACATGTGTTTTCCAATAAAGAGGGTCACACTGAGACTGAGCTCATCCACAGAGAGGCCATGCTGCAGTTTGGTCAAAAAGGAGACGCTCCTGTTAACCCACAAGCCATTACTTTCCTAGTCACCGGTAAGACCTGTAGCCTGGAGGAGTAACAGACTGAACGCTGTTGTATCCTATGGTGTTCTATTGTATTCTGTTCTGTTCTAGGATCTAAGTTGGACCTGCGGCGGTACGTCGAGGGAGTGGAAGCAGAGCATCTGGAGTGTGAGCTGCGCAGGTACAGTACAGAAGGCATTCATGTCCGCTGGCCGGTCCAGGGCCCCAGTGAGTACAACCGCTGGTTCAGCTGCACCCTCAAACACAGCAAGGGCCTGTCCACTGTCATCGGGTTCCTCAGACACCCATCTGACCAACCCCCCTCAGGGCAGCAGGACTACCGGAGCTGGTCTGCTATCGCGGACAGAGAGATACTCACCACATCAGGTAACTCTCACCACAGTCTGTATTAATATCAGTCCCATATCTGAGTTTAATCCCAGTCTGTGTTCATGTCTATTAACCAAAATGTATCTCTGTCTTGCCACTGTTTCTATAGTTGTCATGGTCATGAAAACACAATCTCCATCGGTGAAAGCAGGCCTGGGGTCCCAACAAAAGCTCCACTGCCAGTTTGCTATTGACCACAAAGGGCCCAACATGACTGTGGAGTGGTACTGGCAGTATCGTGGAGAAAGAAACAGACTCTTCAGCCATACCAGCCGCTCAGGGCAGACCCACGGGACCGGTGTTGGGCTGAAGAGCCTCGCCGGCGGAGACGCTTCCTATACCCTCCCCTTCACCAAAATGAGCAGTGAAGGGACTTACATTTGTTCGGTGTCAGTGATGCCTTTGTTCTCCAGTCTGGACATAACTCTGCAAATCGAAGGTGAGGAAGTGTCAGAGAGAGGATAGTAGTATTAAATGTCAGGGCTTGTTTTAACAGGAGTCTCCAGAATCACTGGCCCGGCCAGGAAATAGTCTGGTACACAACCCTTAAACCACAACTTGTCATTTTCACACTTTGTTTTTTTGTACAAACACAAGATATAACGTGGGGCAGATGTTGCCATCTTGTGACAGAGCCAGCCTGGCTGTTCCTCTCGTTATTTTGTGCTAAACTAAGCCAAACAGTCTCCAGCTTTATTTTGAACATATGGACATAAGTGCTATCAGTCTTCTCATCTACCTCTAGAGGCAAGACTGAATAAGTGTTTTTCCTAAAACTATTCCCTTAATAGTGTTTAGCTGTAGTTCAATCAACATTTAAAAAGACAAAGACAAATTTGCTGCTTCATCGAGGCCACACTCCTTGGCTGCTTTCCACTTGTGTGCAGAATTAATTCAAAAACACATAATACTATCAAAATACTGCAAAATTCTGACTGAAAATCCTATGAAATGGGCAAAATGTAATTTAAAATAAATGAAGTCTTTCCTGTAATATTTTGTTTCAATATCATCCTGCTACGTAGTCACATTTATGCACACAGCGTGTGCATATATCCATGATTGGTTACGAGCTTAACTGTAATGGCAAGATGTGATACTAATTGCTCTAAATAATGTCAGAAAGTAGTGAATACTTTTTTGTGTGTGTGACCAGCAGACAACAGAAGTGACTCTCTGTTATAAAGATCACTGAGGTTGGCAGCTGGAGTCAAACTCATGAAAGTTTTGCTGTTTCCTCAGAGGCTCCCCGTGTCTCCCTCAACATTGGACCCACTCTCTCACTGCAGGAGGGCGGAGAGCAGAAGGTTGTCTGTGATGCGGAGGGTTACTACCCTCTGGATGTGAACATAGTTTGGCATGTGCAGGACCCAGCGTTAGCAGGCCAGAGGGTGGGCGCTCCGCTCCCGAAGGTGCTCGATAACATCCTGTTGTCCAGCCACAGACACAACCAGGACAAGACCTACTCGCTGTCCGCTTTCTTCTACCTCCAGGCTTCGCTCAGGAACTCAGGCAAACAGTTTACATGCAGCGTCTCCCATAAGTCTCTGAGAGTGCCCATCAGGAAGAGCTTCATCCTCACTGTTGAAGGTGAGAAGAGGCCACGCTGTTTGCACTGCAGTACTGCAAGCTACCACACAGTGGCAGCAGAGGAACACATCTGACACCTACTGTAACCTCACACTTGTTGTCTGTTTTCTCTCCCTAGAGCCGAGCAGCTGGATGTTTACCCTCACTGTTGGCTTCATTGTGCTCGTGCTGCTAGTCATCCTGTATGTGATGCTGTCCTTCCTGAACCAAGGTGAGTGTGGAGACCCTCACAGAGACAGGCTGATAAACATATATGTGAACATGAGGATCCTGGAGTGTGAGGAGTCCTAGCTTCTGTCATGATGGGTGGAGGTAGAGTTGGTCATTAGGTAATAGGAAGGTTGGCAGTTCAATCCCCAACTCCTCCTGCTGCATTTCAAAGTGTCCTTGAGCAAGATACTGCCAAAAAAGCTCCTCAAATTGGTGATGTGTGAATGGGATTAGTTTCTGCTTCTGATGAGCAGCTGGCACTGCCATCAGTGTGTG